TCTACCTTTGGGCCTGGCAGATGCCCGAGCCACGTCCTGGCAGATGCCCGAGCCACGTACTCCCCTCCACGGTTTGGTGATGTGGGTGAGCAGGAGAGGAAGCCTCCGTCCCGATATCCTCCTTGAGCTTCCCTGTGATTGGAGTCCTGTGCAGTGATTAGGTGCGTAGGCATCGTTCAGTCCAACCCTCCTCAGTGGGCAGGTGAGGAGCCAGGTCTTGCCCAAGGGCACATAGCATGTAGGAGGCAGAGTTGAAGTTTACAGCCCTGCTCCGGACTCCGGCATATTCCATCCCACCCATCTGAATGTTCACTCTGAAACTCAGGGTGAGTGGACTCGGAGCTGGGAGGCTGGGGGTTTCAGAGATGTGTCAGGCCCTATCCTTGACCTCAAAGGAAGAGCTCAATGTCTAGAATCTTCTGTTTCTATCCCTATTATGTTTATGAATTAGTTCCACGTGCGTGGCATTTCCCTTTCGGACTTTGCAGGAACTGGTTCAGGAGGGACAGGATGTGTGTGTTAATCCCTGCTCTACAGAAGAGGGCTCAAAGGTTAGAGGGACAAAAGATTTGGTCAGGGGCATCCAGTATTTTCTTGCAAAAGCTGGGATGCAGCTCCAGACCCTTGACTTCCAGGAGGGCCATGGTTCTTCCTGCTCCTCCAGCCTTGTGGGCAAGAGGGAGGACTGCGGTCCGCGCAGGTGGCATCCTCCCTCCTGCACCGTCCTTTCCCCTAATCCCACCCTCCCCCAGCTTGGAACCTAGACTCACTCCAATAGGAACCCAGAAGCTTCCAGAAGCTTTGTCCAGTCCTCTGTGTGGCAGGGGGCCAACTGCTCATTTATATTTCACTAGATACCGGAAATTATGTAATCAAAGTGGTATCTTTGATCAGTGATAAGAACTCATGTTTCTTTTGTCCTCTCTTATCCGCCTCCAGTCTCCACAAGCATTCAGAATCTCATCCCAGCAGAGCAGAAGCTATGCTGCCTGGGGCACAGGGCTTAATTGTCCCCAGGCTGGAAACATGCAGATCTGGGTTCAAATCCCGTGTGGCCCTAATTCACTCTCAGCCTCAGTTTCTATAGAATGAAAGATAATAACAGCAAGTTGAGTGATCTCCAAGGCTATCTTGGAGATCTAGTTTGCTGGGTAACTTGGGAGCTTCTTTCCTCTCCCTGGGGCTGTCTCCCCTCTGTGACATGGCTTTGGAAGAGCTCCCTCCTTAGAAATGACTGCGGGGACTTTCAGAGCCTGAGAGGGGTGCCATGGCTGTGTCTGACTTGTTCTGCATGGTTCTCGAGGGGCACGAGACAGACTGGCAGAGGCTGAGACAGAGCTCTGGGCCCGGGCCTGCCAGGAGTTGTAGCCACTGAGTGAGGGAGCTCTGTGGGAGCCCCAGGAGCGGGGGGAGCATGGAAAAGCTGAGCTGGGCCTGGGCTGGGGAGGGGCGGGGAGGCTGCGGTTCACAGAGGCTGCACAGAAGCTGCACAGAAGCCCCACGCCTGGGAGGAGGCGAGTCAAGGCCTTATTTATTCATGATCAGGCTGTTGGCATTTGCACTTGCTTGTACTGTTTGCAGGCGTCACCTCGGGGGAGACCCGGCCGAGGGCCTGGCCTACAGCAGATGCTCCGGGACTATCTGTGAATGAAAGAATCTGATCCTTACAAAAAACAGGTTGTTCTGACTCCCAGGCCAGTCTTCTTGAGGTTACACAGATCTCTGCTGCTGGTGGGATAAGGAGGCCACATGGAATGTAAAAGCCCACAGACTTTAGATTTGGAATGACCTGGGTTTGAACCGTTCCCTTATCCAGCCATCTGTCCCTTCTTTCAACAAATGTCGATCGCCTTCTCGGTACCAGGTGCCGTGTGTGACCTTCGGCAAGTCACTTAACCTCTCTGAGCTTTAGTTTCCTCCTCTGTAAAATGGGGATGCGGTACCATCTACCTTTCCAAGGTTGTTGTATAGATTGAGTGAGATGAGGGTGGTAAAGCACCCAGCACTAGAACCTGGGTGCCAGTGGATTGTCGTGGCTGATGGTTGAGGTAGGGGCATCGTTGCATTAAGAAAAGCAGGAAGGTTTGGACACGGGCACTTTCATCCTGTTGGCAGTTTCGAATTGGGACTAGATCTTGAGAAATTCACTCCTTACACTAGTATCACCTAGAACCCAAGAGAATAGAGGGATATTTTGTTCTGTTCTTAGCCTATCGTTTTTGAGCTTCTGTTCTGTGCTAAGCAGTTTGCATGCTGTGTCTTACAGCTCGAAGTGGGGAACAGGGTAATTGAGAGTTTAAGGAGGGGATGGACTGTTTACAGAGCTGTGGGCAGCATCAAAGGAACCACATGGGTCCAACGTAAATGTACAAGGGGAGGAGAAGGTGTTACCAGAACCCGGGAGAGTTAAAACATGACCAGGGGTCTCTGACAGGAGCTGGGGCCAAACTACAGCACAGCAGGGAGGGAGCAGGGAGAGAAATACTCTCTGCCCACTCTCCTGCAGTGGCCTCCCACTGGCCAAACGCAGCCAGAAGCAGAGAGCAAAGAAGCCTGGGGGGTTCAGCTTCCCAGGGCACAGAGTAGATCTGGGGGACAAATGGAGAATAACCAACATACATGTTATCTTAGAAGAAGAGTATTACATCCATATTTTACAGCTGGACAAACTGATGCCCCAAAGCACAAGGAGATGAAGTGACTTGCTCAGAGCGACGTGAAGAAGCCCTGTCCCAGGAGGCCCTTCCCTGGGACAGAGTCAGGGGAAGACACAGCATCCTGAGGGCTTTCCTTGGGCATAATCGTGAGCTCAGGTGGTCAGAGATGGGAGGACCCTCTGAGGTCTCCTGCCTCCCCCTCTGCAGGCTACAGGCACTGAGCAGAGGTCCAGAGACTGAAAGTTCATTGTGAAGGGTCACCTGGCAGTTAGCAGCACACTAAGGATTGGACTCGGGTCTCCCAGATCCCAGACCTGTGAAACTTCTTGCCTGCTGCCAGGGACCATGCTAGCCAGGACTTACTTTTTTCTACAAGGCTTGGCAGGCGGGCTCTTGCAGTTGGACACAAGGGTGGACTTGTTCCGTGGGACGAGGTTCCCTAGGTTTGGCTGTCGGAGGCCAGGACCCTTGGGGGAAGCCTAGAGTCGGGGCTTGGTTGTTTCCATGGTTCTGTTTGCATGAGCCCTGAGCCCAGGCCTCTGTCCGTCTCCCCCAGACAGGCCTGAGGCCCCTGTTCCCCTCCCCCTCAGCTCTGGGCCCTCTCAGAGGCCCTGTTGTTTGCAGCGTGGAGTGGAAAATCCCACCCCGGCCTTGTGAATCATCCCAGAGTCACCCGCTCAGGCTTTGGGCCCTGGAAAGAAATGGCAGCATTTTTCCACTGCATGGAGAACAGGCAGGGTCTCAGATCTGGGGAGAGGGGGCGCCCACCCTCATCCGCTAACAAAGAGCACTGCGAGGGGAAGAGCCAGGCCTGTGGCTGCAGCTGGGCACGGGGCATCCTGGTCCCGGGTCGGTAAAGGAGGGCCGGCCGGATCTACAGCTGGGGGCTGGGCTGCCATGGCGAGGAGTCAGGCCGTAGACTGACATCACCCGGCCGGGCTGTGGGTCCCAGCTGGCACAGAGTCTGCTCTGCAGATGTTGTGGATGAGGTCAGACCCCAGCTTGGATGTCCTCGTTTCTAGGGCAGAAGAAATGCCAAGAGGGAGTGTCCAGGCCTCTGTAGTTGTGGCTCTACCAGGGTCCACGAGGGAGCGTCCTTGGAGCCCTGTACAAGCCCGTCGCCCCTTCAGGCCTTGGCCTGCTCTGTGAGATGGGTATGATCTCACTTTTCTTCTCCTGCCAGATATCCTAGAGGAGGAAATCACCACCAGCCTGCAATTCAGGAAGTGCTAACGTTGGGAAGCATCCAGAATGCTCATTTCGAAGATGCCCACGGAAGGGAGGGGAGTTGCCCCATGTTGCACAGCCAGTCAGAGTACAGCTGGTCAAGATTTTCTGTGTAGAAGTAGCCTAGGGTAGGAGAACAAGTCAAATGGCCTTGGGTTGAATCGAGGCTCTGCCTATTAGCTGTGCAACCTTGGACGAATCGCTTTGCCTTTCCGAGCCTCTCTCTGGTTGCTTATCTGTTGAAAGGGCTCAGTACCTACAGTAACGCTTAGCCTTAGCCTCTGCATTTCCCTTTAATTCTAGTTCACATGAAAGAATAGGGCCACGGAGAGCCTTCTAGGAAGGGAAATCTTTTGCTCTTCCTGAAAAACAGATGTGAGGAGGGTGGCTTAAAATTTCAAGCTGGGGAGGTTCCAGCAGCTTGCTTAACAGAAACAACAGCTAACTTTTTGGGCATTCGCTATGTGCCAGGCAGCAGGATTAGCACTTTTTATAGGTTATCTGTCAGCTAGGTGCTATTATATCCTCGTTTTGTAGTTAAAGAACGAAGCCTTGGATACTGAAGGTTACTTGCCTAAAGCCACAGAGCTAGTAGGTGGGGGTGCCCCGCGTGAAGCCAGGGCCCCAGTCTTACACCATAGTCAACTGCTCCCTGGGGAGGAGCGGAAAGTAGGCTGGCCCTGGATCCCAAACCTGCAGAACTGGACATAGGACTAGAGACTGTCCTCCCAGGCCCCCGGGCTCTGGATGACTGCTGCAAATTTGGCCAGCAGCGCCAGAGGCTTGGAGGTGGCTGCTGGGACTTGGCCTGAGGTCATGCAGCAGCCGCCCCCACTCCTCCATCCGGGGGCCCTTTCCAGTGACCCTGGGGCTTTGGTACCCATATCTGCCTGTCTGGATCTCTCTTCTGATTTTTATTCATGGACGAGCAAGCACGTGGTGTTCACAGGCCAGAACTGTGAACCAAGGCTGCCCAGCGTGAGGTCTGGATTAATTACCAGCCAAACCGTACTGGGTTTTCAACACTGATTTTAACTCTGGGCAGGAAACCTGGAATCTCATTGATGGTTATTTGAAACAAATGAATTCCCCAGGCCTCACACATCCTCGAAAGCCTGGCTTCCTTCGAAGGCTCCGTGTTCAGTTCTTCAGATCAGGCGCTTGGTTAATCATCATGGACTCCTTGGGGTAGACGGAACGGTAGCTACTGAACCTATTGTAAAGGGGAGCAGTGGAAAACAGACAGGCTGAAGGGCTTGCACAAAGTGCAAAACCGGGATTTGAACAAAGGTCAGCCCATGGTTTAGTACGTCTGCTTGTCTGCCTCCCTTACTGTGTGAACGGAGGAGCCGTGAGGCCAGACAGGTACTCACTGAATGCCATGTTGCAAGGTTAGGCTGTTGTCTTGTGGGAAATGGGGAGCCATCAACTGTTGATGAGCAGGGGAGTACCTTGGGAAGGTGAACCAGGCTATGTGGAGGACTAGAGAGGGAAGAGGGCAGAGGTGGGGAGACAAACAAAGGGGCTGTTGCAGGTTCTTGGGGGGAGCAGTGATGAAGGATGGGCCAGGCTGTGGCCATTGGAATAGATGAAACATTTGAGTGACGATTACATACAAGACATTGTGTTACACATTTACGGTCTCTCGTTTCGGTAATACTGTAAAGAGTATGTTATTATCCCCATTTTATAGATCAGGCTGGTTAAGGAACTTGTCCAAACCCAGCTGGGAAGTGGTAGCCCTGGGATTTGAACCCAAGCCTGTCTGATGCTTGTGCTCTTTATGCTATACTGCATCTCCACGGTGCAAAGATGCTCGGTGTCACCTTGGACAAGTCCCTTCTCTTCTCTGGCTCTGCAGAGAACTTGGCTGAGCTCCGAAGTCTTTTGCTGTTTTACTTTATCAAACATTTGGCTGAACCCTGGGGAAAGAGAGATGACTCATATCCTATTAGTTCCTTTGAGGAGACCATGGTCTGGTGGGAGAAGCAGGCTTCTAAGCAGACAATTCCATGATAAATATAGTGGCCTTCAAAGCAGAGAGAAAGAGGGAGACTTGGCCCAAATTGGAGGAGGAATCATGGAAGGTTTCCTGGAGGAGGTGACACTGTAACTAAGTTAGCTGAGTAATAAAAGATGAGAGCTTTAAAGACTGAGAAATAGCAGCTGCAAAGGCCTGAAAACTCCCAAGAGCATGAGTTCCCCAGGCAGGGACCTCAGGAAACCCCTCTTTTCAGCCATGGGATTTCCACGCCCAGAGCTCTGGACAGGTTTGTTGAATGAATGCTTGAACCCATTCTCTACTACTACTTGACATTGATGCTGTTTTGCTTTCTTTTCAGGGTCCCCCTGGGCTGCCTGGGCTCCCTGGAGCCCCCGGTGCACGGGGGCCTCGGGTAAGTGATCACACACCATCCTTCGGAGCACTGGTTGGCTCCCTGGCCTGTGTCCCACTGCTGCTGAAGTCCCAGCTTTGCTTTGTGTTCTCAAACTGTTCCCTGCCCCTCTCTGGCATTCATTTTCCACTTTGTCCATTGGAGTGGACTTAGGGCTCTTAAGGGCACCGTGTGGACAGACATGCCATGGGACAGCGATGACCTCTTGCAGAGTCTCAGTTGTCCTTGCTGCCTGGGGCTGAGAAGGGGTGTCTGCAGATCACATCCCTGAGCTTATGGGCTCTGGTGCTTGTCTAGGAAAAAAAAAACTGACTTTGGAGGACATGACCCTCACATCCCTCTTCCCACCTCTGCAGGACCATTCTGGGGTAGGGATGCTGACATAGGCAATTAGACAGGCCATGCCAGGGAGGGGGTGAGCTCCCTGTGCTGAAAAGTTCAACTGGAGGCTGAAAGATGGCTTGGCAGGGCTGCAGTGGCCGATAAGAGCTAGCCCGAGCCTCTGGATGAAGAACAGCTCCTGTGTATTATGCCTCCCATGTCACTTAATGTTGCCTTATGTGATCCCCTCTCCCCCAGAATCCCCATGGGTCGGTATGATCATTCTCATTTGGGGGATGAAGAAATTAAGCATCTAATAGATGGCAGAGCAAGGACTGGAACGAAGTATCTTAACCATATGCTGGGACCCCTCCCTCTTGCAGGGAAATCCGCCCCCTTCCCAAGAGGACTCAGACCCACGGCGCCTGGCATCTGTGCCCAGGCTGAATCAGCCTTTCCCACGCTGGGTGCCTGGCGAAGCCCTGGCAGAGATAGCTGCCTGGGGCATATTTTTAGCTCCGAGGCCAGCGGATGGTTCTGGTTATGCAATTACTCGAGCCCTAGTTCCCTCCAGACCTGGCCCTGTGCTCCCCAGGCCCAGGGCTCTGGAATCTGCTCCATGCAGCGGTATTTCCTCCTGGCTTTGGAGTCTCCATGCAGCCCATGCCCAGAGCTGGGGACCACAGAAGTGCCATTGACACTGCTGGCCACGGGACCTTGCAGCCTGGGACCAGGATGAGGCCCTTTGACCCAGCATTTCAGGCCCAGGCAGTCTGCCTGTGCCCCCACTCTACACTCCTGAGCCCTCCAGCCTCTGCAGTGTTGCTCAGGCTGTCCCTCTTCTGCAAACTCCTCTTCTGCAAACTCCTCCTCCCTCTTCTGCAAACTCCTCCTCCCTCCATGGCTCAGATCAAGTGCCAGCTCCTTTTCCGACGACCAGCCCCTTCTCGAAGCTCCTACAGCACTTTATCTGCCCTTCTGGATGGCACGAATCACTTTCTAAAACTCATATTGACCTCTGAACTCTGTTTACGGAGCTGCATGTGCGTGATCTCCTTCTGTCTTCCCAGCCATCATGAGAAATAGGTTCCAATATCCCCATTTTACAGGTGAGGAAACTGCGGCTCAGAACATTTTGGTTACTTTGGGTAAAGTCGAACAGAGTAAATATCAGAGCCAGGACTGAAACAAAATCGTCTGACTCTAGAGCCTGTGGTCTTAACCATCTGTGTGCTAATTTTTCCATCTGCTTGGCTGAGCCCCACTGGGCTAGAGACAGGCCCAGCTTTCTGCTTTTTCTTACACGATGCCTAGCAGAGTGCACTGTGTGTGGCAGGTGCTGGACAAATGGTCACTGATGAGCTCTAGTCTGGGAGTCAAGAACACGTCCACCAAGAAGCTGTGTTACCTCAGCCAAGTTCCTTCCCTTCTCCGGGCCTCAGTTTCCCCATCTATAAATCATGGGATCCTGATAAGGCATTCCCAAGGTTCCTCCCAGCTCTGACATTCCACGAGTGAGTAAATGACTCTCCTGACATCCATCGCAGTCTCGCCCATCATCCTGTTTCTGGACTGGAAATTCCATAGATCATAAAATTCCAAAGATAATAGAATGCTGGGATTATGCAATGTCAGCTCCTCTCTGCATAGATGGCAGCTCTGGCACTCAGGGCGGGGCAGGGCCTCACCTGAGGTCAGCGGCATGTCCTTCCCACCTCCACATACTCCTGTCATTCATCGAGGGATATTGGGGAATCCCTTGGCCCTGCCCCCATCCGCCTTTCTGGGCTGCAGCATTTATAGAATTGGTCTGCTTGGCTCCCACTCAACTATGTGCTTCGTTTCTCTGCAAGGCAGTGGCTGGAGAGGGATGGGGAGGTGGGGGTGGGAAAGCAGGAAGCCCCCATCTTCATGAGCTGCAGATGTGGTAGCCGAGTGCTCCGGCCCATCGTCTTTGGGGTAGCTGGGGGCACAAGTGGGGAGACGTGGCCACCTTGACCTTGTACAGCCCATGCCTTGTTCTGGGGTGATCAGGTACCCCTCCTCGAACACCCCCACCCAACCTTTGCCCAATTCAGGCTGAGCTCTAAGATTAGACCCCAGAAGTCTGGGCTGGGGTGAACATCTGAGGTCTTCCAGATTCCTTAGAGACCACTGGGTCCCAGTCATTTGTAGGACAGAGAGACTGAGGCTGGGGGAGGGGAGGCTCAGGAGCGATTCCAGGTCTTGACACTTCCTAGTTACAGCCTTGTGGCAACAGACTGTGTTTGGTGGGATGTTGGGAGGGGTTGGAAGGCTGATTGTTTTAGAGGGATGATCACCCATGACACCATTATATAAACCCCCCAGGCTGAGCGAGCTTCTGAACATTGTTCTTTCTAGATGTTTTCAGAGAAGGGGAGGGTCCCAGTTCAGGCATCGAGGAAGAGGGAGGTGCCTTGGTCAGAATGTGACAGACTGCAGCTGGGAAGTTGGCTTCCAAGAGAGAGAAAGGCAGCAAGTTCTTACAGAGCTAGCCAGATGGGTCAAGAGGGGTCAGGGACAAGGGCAGTGTGTCTGGAGGCTGGCGTGGTGGGGGGCACCGCGGGGCCTTTCGAGGTTCCTCTCTCCACCCTCAGTGCCCCAGATTATACCTACTGGACAAAGACCAACAGGAATTACCTGACTCTTGGGCTCTTTTTATACCACTGGTCTGCAAGGCTGTAGTTCAGGGCGCTTGCTGGAGAAAGTGGACATAACTGGACCCAGCTGTTGCAGCAGATTCAGAAATGGCCTGGGAAAATCTAGTGCCATGAATAAACCCTGGACTTGAAGCCAACAGACCCCAGTTCTGGCCCTTCCTTAGCTACTACTCTGCTGTGTGACACTGGCCAAGACTTTTTGATTCTCTGGGCTCATTCTTCCCAGCTGCTCCAAGGACCCTGGAGGGTGCCATAAGCTCAGAGCCTGAAGGAATCCAAGGGAGAGAAATGACTATGTATCATGGCCACAGTGGGGCTGTGCCTTTGTTCAGAAAAGGCCAAGCATTCCCTTCATTGAACTCTTAACTCCAAAGGCTCATGCAACAGTCAGTCTGAAGTCTGAAGGGTGGAGAGGTTCCTTTAGGTAGGAAGAGTCCCCAGAGGTTCCCTGGAGGAGGCGGCGTTTGAGCCAGACCTTGTAGGATGGGTTGGGTTTCAGCTGGAGGGAATGGATGGGAAAGGCATGACAGATGATGGGAACGGCATGGCAAAGGTGCTGAAAGGAGAAAGTACCAGGCATGGAGCAGGGAAGCAAACAGCTGAGTGTGATTTGAGCCTAAGGAAGCCAGCTGGGAAGGGTTGATGGGGCCAACTGAGGAGAGTGTGGAAGGCGGTAAAATTCAGCTGTTAAGGGCTTGTGCTCTGAAATCACACATCTGAGGCTGAGCTCTAGCTCTGCCCCTTAGCAGCTGCATGGCCTAAAAAATCAAAAACCTCTCAAAACACCAGCTTCCTCCTATTCAAAACAGGAATCGTGACAGTACCTACCTCGTGGGTTAATGGATAAAATGAGATGATGTATGAATAGTGCTTAGCGCAGTGCCAGGCATCCGGGGGGCCCTCCTAAAAGAGAGTCGCCGTCGCAATACTGCTAAGATCTGGCCAGGGGAGGAGACCAAGCGTGTGCAGGAACGTGCTGGCACTGCTGTAGGAAGTGGAACGGCTCTGTTTTCCCTCACTTTTTTGTTTCTTTTCCCTTTCAGGGTCCTCCTGGGCCTTATGGAAATCCAGGCCTCCCCGGCGCTCCCGGAGCCAAAGTGAGTATTTATTGTGGAGTCTGGAGATAGGGCCATGGAGCGGATGCTGAAATTCGGGCCACGTTTTGGGTGCTTCCTAGGGTCTCCTGGTGGGAGGTCCTCAGGATCATTGCAGAGGATCCACACTGGGCCGCAGGCACAGCCTGAATGTCTCCTGAGTGCCAGGCCCCATGCTGGGCTGGGGACACAGTGAGGAATTAGGAGTTTAGCTTCTAGTTGGGAGTGATTAAGGGGAAGGGCAGCTGGAAACTGGAGCCCTTAAAGGGAGTGAGACAAAAGGTCATTTAATGCTAACTAGGGAGGGCCTTGAACATCTGAATAGGAATGTGAGGTTTACTGGGTCCTAAGATGCAACCTGAGGAGGTATGTCGAGTTTTGAGCTGGGATGGGACGTGGAAAGATTTCGTGTGATAAATATCGCTGGATGCCAAATGGAGGATGGACGGGGGGTGGGGGCCAGAGCGGAGGCAGGGAGACCTGGCTGAGGCTAGCCTGGGCCAACTCAGGCTGTGGGAGGAGGAAACGTTGGCGCATTCGCAATGATGTGGAGGTGGGATAGAGGACTTGGTAATGGACTAGAGGTGAAAAGTCGTGACTTCCCAGTGTTAGCCTGGGTGACTGAACCTGGGAACCCAGGAGAAGGAATGAGATGACATTGGTTTGGGAACTTGTAGCCCAGCTAGGTAGAGATGATTCATGGAGAAACATTCTGAAACTCAGAAGACTCTGAGCTGGAGATAGAGCCTTTGAGGGGTGGCTGACACAGAGATGCCACCTTCCCGCCCTTCTTAGAAGGCCCCAGTTAACTTTTAAATGAGAGCACAAAGTGACCAGTGCTCTGATGACTGCGAGGACCTCCAGCCCCAGAGCTCCTGTCTGCTCCTGGGGCTTGGGCAGGGAACGGGGTTGTTCAGGGTGGTACGTGGAGTGAGAAGCAGGAGGGCAAAGGAGTGCCGGGCCAGCAACATTTAGGTCATGGGGGCAAGTCGTACAGAATGGCTGGAGAAATAGGACTGAAAGGGATACGAAGGTCAGGGAAGCCAAGGGCTCAGTGACTGTGATGAGGGAGCATGGGGACAGGCCAGGAAGGGCAGAGGGACTCCTGGTCAGGCCACCCAGCCTAGCCTGTCATCTGTGGGGTAACCAGGTGAAGACCTCTGGGCTTTGGTGGCCCAGGCCCCGGGTCATTCTTTGTTAGCTCAACTGCAAAGGTCCAGGGGCTTAAGTAAAGCCATTAATGACCGGCCCCAGGTCAGGCAGTGAGTGACAGCTGTACAGCCTCCAAAGGTCAGTGCTAACTCCCAGAGCAGAGCTGCTGCAGCCCATCAGCTTGTCAAGGAGTTTGGGACAAAGGTCATGCACAGGTAGCCCTGGATATATGACTATAGGGCACTAGAAGGCTGGTGCAGGAGCACCGGCCTCAGCCCTGCAGGTCCGTGACTCCACGGCCGAGGCTGGGCTGGGGATCCTTCCTCGGAAAGCGAGCACAGAGGCTTCAGGTGCCTGGTGCCCAGCAGCTGCCTGGAGGTGCTCTGGGTTTTAACAAGGCAGACACTGATGATAATGGCCACCATCTATTGTGCCCTTGCTCTATGCTGGGCACTGTGCACACACTTTATGTAGCTTGTCTTATTCCATCCCCGAAAGACCTAAGATATGGGTGGAGATACTCTATTCATTTACAGATGGGGAAACTGAGTCTCTGAAAGATTGAGACACTGTCTGGGAGATGGTGACAGGATTGTCCCCTGGGAGGACCTGCTCCTTCTTTCTAGAAGGGACCTCCTTTGGAGACTTCTGCTTTGCAGAGGCCTCAGTTTCCCATGTCATGGGGGTTGGGGTGTTGTCTTTTGTTCTTGATTTGTAAAAATTATTTATGTTTGTATATTAAGGTTATTAAGATTTCATCTACCTTACAAATATTTTCCAGTTTATTGTTTGCCTGTTAAGAGTATTTGCGATGATTTTCACAACTGGAAATGTTATCTATTTGGCGGGGGCCGGGGGGGACTAAAAATAATAGCTAATACAGATTAGGAACTTATGATAATGTCAGACAGTTTAGAGAGTGCTCCATCCATATGTAAAATGTATGGTTATTTACTTTTATAATTAGATATTTTTTCCCATGCTAAGATTCACTTATATTTCTAGTCATTTTATAATATCATTTGTACTAAAAAAATTTAAACCATCTGGAATTAACCTTCAATGGGAGGGGTGATATGAGGTAGGGCTCTAACTTTATTTTCCTTCCAATAATTAATTATTTATTAAATAACCTTTCCTCCACTGATTACTATATGATAGAACAGGTTCTATTTCAGGCCATTCAAATGTGTTTTATTGCTCTTCGTATTTTTTTATGTTCGTAAAATACTACTTTATATTATGACATTTACTACCTTTATACTGTGTCTTCTCCCCCCTGTTCTTTTAAAATATTTCTGGCTATTTATTCTGTCAGATATACTTTATGCCCATCTTAATAATTTCCTTAAAAAACCCTCTTGGAGTTTTTATTAGAATTGTATTAAATGTGTATATTAATTTGTGAAAAATTAACATCTTTAAAATATTAAGTTTTCCCATTTGGTTGAGTTTTTTTAAATGTCTTTTAGTAAACTTTTATAGTTTCTATTGCATAAGCCCTGCACGGTTTTTAAGTTTATACTTAGAAATTTTATTGTTGCTGTTATAAATGGAGGGAATATTTTCCTCATTATATTTTCTAGCTGGCTCTCAGCTTTTGAAGAGACTGTTGCTTTTGTATTTTTGTACTTTTGTGCGTATTTTATAACCATGCCCTTTAGTGAATTATCTTATGAATTCTACCAGTATTTCAGTTAGTTCTCTTCGATTTTCTAGACAGGCACTCATATTGTTTGCAAAGGACATAGTTTTCTCTCCTTTTCCTCAAAAGTTAGTAGTCTTATTTGTTTTTCTTTCCTGATTGCATTGGCCAGAACTTCTAAACACATGAAATAGCAGTGGTGATATTAAGAGGCTCAGCGAATCTTCAGAGGACGTTCCAGGCCTGGGGCCAAGAGCTGACCCAATTCCAGCCCTAGCGTTGTCTCTTGTGACTCCATTCATTCTTTTGCTCATTTGTGAAATATTTTTTTGATGCCTCCTCTGGGCCAGGCCCTGTGCTGGGTACTCAGGATCAGCGATGACTTATACAGGGACTTCCAGCCCAGAATTTCCCAGTTCTTTGTGATTTGTTTCTCCATTGTCTCAGCTTCTCTCTGGGCTTTATTTACCCAAAGCCCCCTATTCTCTCCACTGCTCAATGCTACCTTTAACTATAAGAACTATAGTTAACTACAGGTACTATAAGAAAGGATCTTACAGTTCTTGTTCTCACTATATTTGCAGCATCTATTTAAAATATACCCTCCCATGTGTCTTCTAGTTCCATAAGGCTCTTTTAACTAAGTCCAGTCTACTGTTCCCTATGCAGAGAGAAAAGGGGGCTTGTCCAAGGTCGTACAGGCTCATGGCTGGAGAGCTAGGTCTGGTGACCAGATTCTGTCCTCGCCAAGATATAAGCAATTAATTAGAGTTTATGTATTCCTTATATCTCTTACTGGGGAATTTGCAGGAGTCTGGCTGAGAAGACATGTAATTTTTTCCATCCCAGAAGTCACACTGTCACTTAACCAGGGTGTTTGGAGCATTCCTTGAGCTTTAAATTCATTGGTTCTCTCCTTGTCTTCTTCCAGCCTTAACTGTAAGTCCTGTTAGGGATTTACCCTCCGTCTGGGTCAAGTTCTTTCCACTTCCTCCTGGACTCCACTTGTCATCTGCAGTGTATTGAAATGTAAAGAGTTTGGGCTCTGGAACCAGAGTACCTTAGTCTAAATCCCATTTACTAACTGTATGACCTTAGACAAGTTATTTATCCTCTCTGTGCCTTAGTTTCCTCATCTGTGAAATGGGAATAATGATAGTTGCTACCTCATAGATTTATAGGTCGAGAGCTTAGAAGGACACTCAGTAAATTCTAGTGCTTATTATCATCACCTGTCTCTCTGGCTTCTCCCTTGAGAGTTCCCCATGGGCAAGCCCTGTGTCTTGTTCCCTACTGTGGCATTTCCTATAGTTGTGGTGAGACTTGGGTCACAGTAAATGGTCAGTAAGGATCTGTACTTATGGGTATTGTCCTTGGACCGGGATTACATCCCACGCACTTTGCTGCAACTGAGGCTGCAGAGAGATACCCATAAATAACTAAAATGCCCTGAGTAAGGACCCCAGGCAAGGGAGCAGGTCCAGCATCTCTTTGGGTCTCTGTTTCCCTTTTATAAAATGACTAGGATACATGGAAGCCCACCCATGAAAGCTTTTTAAGCCAAGCTCCTTTACCAACTTTAGACTGAGGTGGGCAAGGGCGGAATGGGGACAGCTGCTGCCCTTTTTTGGCCATTGGAATCCTGGGTAGCCCTGGGCCTGGCCTTGCACCATGGACATAAAAGGCAGTGGAGCTGAGTTTGTGAGCAGCTGAGGGTGGGACAGTGTGTGAGGGGCAGCCGCAGTGTGAGATCCCAGAGGACGGGTTCTGCAGAAGTGGCCCCGGTGGACAGAGAATTGGTGTCCTAGCAGGGAGGGGCTGCCCTTCAGCCTGGGGCAGCTGGAAGGTGTGGGAGAAGTCCCCAGCTTTCCCATTTGGAAACGAGAGCTCTGAACTCAGACAGACCAGGGATGAGTCAGACCTAGTAAGACCTTGCCTCTTACCTGCGTGTCACCCCAGGCTGTGACTCAGCCTCTCTGCACTCCGATATGGGTTCTGAGTTGCATCAAGTGGATGTTAAGAGAACTAATGAGTTGCTGCGTAGAGTGGGCCTGGCCCAGTACTGGGTGCAGAGTAGGTGGGCAGTGGAAGGCTGTTTCCTTCCCTCTTTAATGTGAGGATTTCTCATGAAGAGTAACTGAGTCAGAATTTGAAAGACGAAAAGAACCAAATGGGAATTAATTAAAGTTGGCCAAACCACCCCTCCCACGTGTCATGTCCATTATCTCACTGGCTCCTTGCCAAGAAATCTGGGAAACTGACGATGAGTGTGCACGTGTATGAGTGTGTGTGCGCATGCACCTGTGTGCGCATGTGAATGTGTATGCAAATGCTATGTGTATGTGTGAGTGTGCATGCGTCCATGTGCGTGTGTATGAGCATCTGTGTGCCTGTGTGTATGCACGTGTGTGCATGCCTGTGTGTGTGTGCTGCACAGCTCCCATTTTAAAGGAGAGGAAATGGGGGCTCAGGGAAGTGAAATGGCTTGCTTGAGGTCCCACTGTGAGTCCCTGGCTTCACCCCAGGACTTCTGACTCAGGATCTCTCCAGCTGGGGGAGGGAGCATGGGAGTGAGGGTGAAGAACAGTGATCAGGAGTTCTGGAAAGGTGACATCCAGGTGGGCCTACCTTCCAAAGGGCTGTTTTCAGAGTATTTTAACCAGGTTGGACCAAATGAGCAGGCCTGCAGCCAGGAGCACTCTCTTCAGCCCTGCAGGAGATGCAGCTGGTGAACTGTGTGTGGGCCTTTTCTCAAGCTCCATTCTCTTAGGAGCTAGAATCCTTGCACTGGGGACACTCCCGAATGCTAGAGATTTATCTCTGACTGGGAACCTGCTGCTTGTTGGTTTCTCTCTGATTTACTGCCTGTTCTAACTCATCTTCAGGGTTCTAGTCTTAGCTCTGCCAATGCCTCATCTTGGGCCTCAAACAGTCCCTTTCCTTCTCTAGCCTCAGTTTTCCCAACTATGTGGTAGGGTAATAACACTTCCCTTGCCCACTTCAGCAAGCTGTCGTGAGAATCTAGTGAGGTGAGGAATATTGCAAACTGTGAAGAGCTGTACAGTTGTAAGTGGGTGTTATTGCAGTGACCCTAGGTGATCGGAGTGGTGAGGTGAGTATTGGAAAAATGGAAAAGAATTGGGCATGCCTCTTGTATGTGTCTTTTGGAAGCTCTCTGAGAGCCTCCAAAAGTGGAGCAAGCCTGGAGGCAGTCCTAGCAATGCTCACATGCAAGGTTCCGTCACCTGCATGCGGACCCAGCTTGGGGAGGACGCGTTCAAGCTGCACCTGGAAGAATGTTATAGTTTGGCTAATGATGACTGGGGAATGGTTTTCTAGGTGGGAGTGACTGCCTGAGCAAGGGCCTAGCAGCAGGAAAGTGCAAGGCATGGCTGAGGAATGGGCCGTGGTCTGGGGAAGGGGCAGAGGCAACCCTGTCTGTGTGTTTGGCTGGCGGAAGGACAGCAAAGTCTGGTCAGGATGGCTGGGACCAGATGACCAAAGACTTGGAACACCAAAGAGTTTGGACTTTGTTGTCATGTAATCAATCAGTGGGGAGCTGTGGAAGATGTTAGAGCCAGGGGAGTGATGGAGCTGGGTGAGTGGGGATTGGGCGGAAGGGCATTTAAGCACAAGACAGGGCTTAGAGCACAGTCTGTGGGGAGACATCCTCTCTAGATGACTCGGCCGCCAAAGTGGAATTATTTTTGTTTCAGGGACAGAAAGGGGACCCAGGGCTCTCACCAGGAAAGGCTCACGATGGGACAAAGGTAGGTTTCCAGGGACCCCAGAGCTCAGGGAAGTGGGGGAGTGGACTGCCATGCTCTGTGGTGAGCCGTCCTGGCAGAGGCCACTGTGTGACAAAGGCAGGGAAGTAGGAAAGTGTGGTTTGGATTTTTCCTTGAAGTTCTTCTGCTTTTTCCCACACTAAACCCAAAGCCATTTCCTGCTGTCTTCTTCCTGGGCTGCAACCAGTAAAACCAACAGATTTTGCCTATGGACACACTCTTGGCGAATGTCATTTTGCCTCATGCCCTGCATAGCTTTCTCTAGGGCCCACTAGGTGACCCTTGGCATCCAGAAGCTTTTTGGTAGCACAAAGCCGGGAAGCTTCCAGAAGATGTTCAAAGTCCCCTCTGAGGTTGTTAATTCCAGGAGACACGTCTATACATTTCTAGGAGGAGGGATGGGAACAGGCCAGAGATTCAGGGCTCTCTAACCTTGAAGGGCTGTGAGATTAGAAGCTTCTCCAGTGGAATAGAATATACTTAGGCCAAAGGACTTCATCCATTCCTGAAGCGTCTACCCCATAAACAGATCAAGGGGCCTGGAGGGAGTGCAGGACAGGTGGGAACAGGGGGAACCGAGAAATCCAAATGAGGTCCCCAGTGTTTCAGACCTTCATATCCTGGAAGGAATGCTCCAGTCTGGGGTCCTCTAGGCACAGCATCAGAGCCCTCCTGACAGGCGGAACGCTGCTTCTCAACCCAGCCTCCTATGCTTGAGTGCATAGAAGTGGCAGTTCCCTTTGATTTCCCCAAGACACAGGTAGCTCATTCCTTTACATCCTTACTGATAAGTTTTTTCATTCATTACTGGGGGGAAATGTTTACATATACTCCCTTCTGCTCCTCATTGGAACCTTATAAGCCAGGGCAGATGGGCCCAGCTTGCAAATGAGAAAACAGAGGCCCTAGAGGTAGATGGCTGGCTAGAGGTCACACAGCTGCTCGGTGCAGAGCAGGACTGGTACCTAGGTCTGATGGAGTCAGGGGCCTAGGCTTCTCTCTTGCCCTGGGTTGTCTGTTCTCAGGTCTCATGGTGGTGGCAGAAATGCCTCCTATTTATGACCACCATGCCCAGCAAAGATGAAGAATGCAAAGAGAGTGAGAGACAGAGAGAGACAGACAGAGACAGACAGAGACAGACAGAGACAGACAGAGACAGACAGAGACAGACAGAGACAGACAGAGACAGAGAGAGACAGAGAGACAGACAGAGAGAGACAGAGAGTGCTGATTGGAATGAGACATGAATTCCCTGGGGACAGTGGTTTTCAAATAGTGGTTCTCAAATATTTAGCAGCAGGATCAATTTCTCAAATGGTATCCTATGCTGAAGTCCAGTATAGAAAATAGATCCAATGGAGAGACTGGGTTGAGTGGGAAGGGCCAGGGTACCCCGCCTACTCGGCTACCCTCACTCTACTCAGAGGCCCCCAATGTCCTCTGAGGCCTCTGGGCCTCCATGAATCCTGTTTACAAACAATTGGCCATATAAAGTCACACATTCAATTTAAGGAGTGCCTCTGCTCCCATTCCCCCAGCTTACCCCCTTATCTGTGTTTTGCAGGGCGACACGGGCTTGCCTGGGCTCCCTGGGAATCCAGGACCTCTTGGACGAAAGGTACACCTTGGTTTCAATGCTTTGCCTTGCCAGTGGGCTGCCTAGCATGCAGGGCCATCTGACAGGAGCCTTGTTAGCCTCCTTCCTCCCGTCTGCCTCTCCCTAGCTCCCTTGGGCACAGGGAACATTGGTGGGGGTGAGAGATTTATGGGGGTCTGTGCTTATCTGGGGGTGGGCAGCACCTTGGCTTGGAGTAGGTTTCCCTAGCTATGCATAATGAGGTGTGAAGAGAAGTGGCCTTGGTTCGCTGTCCTTCCTCTAGGGGTCCAGCTGCTCCTAGGAGGCCTTCCCGTGGTGGTGACAGGAATATTGTCAGAACCAGGAGGGCCGGGATTGGCCCGGCTCTACCTCCAATTGATTGAGTGGCCTTGGGCCTGCATATTTCCTCCCTGAGCCTCAGCCTCCTCCTACCTGGGATGGAGACAACAGCCCCCCGACACTTGACCTCTTAGTGCCTGGGCTGTCAGCCTGGAGTGAGACCTGGAGCAAAGAAACTGGGATAGTGGGCTCTGGGGTCAGTCAGACCTGGGTTCTACTCCCAGCTCCACCGTTTCCTAGCTGTGTGAGCTTGGGAAAATCAATAACCTCTCTGAGTCTAGTATTCGTCTCTCCTTGGTATGCTGATATGCTGCAGGGGAAGGGGAACGTGCTGCAGAGGCAGTAGTTCTCTGTACCTTCTGAGCTATGGCCATGCTGGGGGAATTACTTCTCTAAACATCCTTGGAAGAAAGTCTGCCATTTTCCTAGATGGTGTGTTTCTGACTTACGGTGCCCCTAGATTTTGCCCCAGCTTCCCAGCCAGGCTCCCTCATCCTTCACATTCAAATCTAGTGGTACCCACGCTAGGAAGACCTCCTGGATCCTCAGCCTTCAGGCCAGGAACCTCCACTCTGCTCAAGAATCCCCAGCCCATCTTAGCTGAGTTATTCTTATCCGGAGTCCGGCCTCACCAACCAGGCCCTGCGAACCTGGTTTGTTACCTTCCCTACTGAGGCTAGCACAGGGCCTGCACACAGTAGGTGTTCGGGAAACGGGGAGGACAATGCAGGCCAAGGATCAACTGCTTTCTGCAGGGAAATCTCCCTCTGCTGATGGGTTTTCCAGTAGATACATCAGCCTAGGGCCATGTCTTAAGCTTCTACCCTGGCTCCCAGCTGTAGCCACAGCTGCCATCTCTCTGGGCCATCTGGTTCTCATCTGGACAGCTGTGGTGCCTCCTGGCTTCGTCCTGTCCTTGCTCCCCATGGCACAGGATACTTGGAGCGTCATGTCCTCCTCATCCCTTTCTCCTCCACCCTCCATGGCTAGCGCAGGCCAAACCTCGAATCTGAAGAGGCCAGAGCCAGACCGGAATCTGCAGCTGCCTGTGAGCTGGGGAAACATGGAATTTTCTGGCTCAGAGAACACAGAGGGACTCTCTCTCTCTCTACTCACTTCCCCTCTGGGCTCCAGCATTTTCTGATGGATGAGGTGTGAGTGGAAAGTCTCCTTCCAGTCCTGGCTCATAAAGCAGCTGGTGGTGGTCTTGCTCTGCATGGTGGTGGGAGTTTAGCAGAGGTGGCAGGAGATGGGAAAACAGACTGGACCGGCTCCTGCCTGGGTTCCAGGGCTCCCTGGTCTCGGCAGATGTCCAAGGAGGCCAAGAGCCCACAGCCAAGAGGGATCAGTTCACCTGAGTCGGGAAGGGCATCTTTTCTAAATTAAAGAAGAGCCTCCATGTGGCTAGAAAACTATTTGTCAAAGCTATTTACAGTGAGTCCCTCAGCTGTGACCCAGTCAGACACGAGTTTGGTCTGTGGCAGGCCAGTGTCACCTGCTCACTGAGGGAGGGTAGTGGGCAGAGCATGGGGAAGCTCAGGTCCCCAGTGATCAGGGCCAAGAAGGAGGACCGACAGGGTGGGCAACTGTGCCTGGGATCATCACTGTTTTGTAAGTAGTCTCTCTTCCACGACTGTCGTTGGTGACATCAGTGGCCACTTTGTCCTGGTCCTGTTGGGTGGCTTTTCTGCCTCATCTCATGTCCTCTTTTCTCACTAGCATGTTGAATTTTGGTGTCACTTCGGAGTGACACCAATAATCCTGTTTATTCTTTTATTCAACAGAATCAGTTAAATGCCTGCTATGTGCCAGGTACTGCTCAAGGCACTGAGCTGAATAAATAGACAAAATTCCTGTCCCCTCATCTCCCCAGAACTTTTATTCTTGTGGAAGGAGATAGACAATGAAAAGAAAATTAGTAAAAACATAAGATATGTTAGAAGATGAAAACGACTGTGGAAAAACAGGCAGAGAAAGGGAGTTTGGGCTGGGAGGTTTCCATATTAAATAGCGAGGCGAATTAGAGGTGGCATAAAGCGTTACTGTCCCTCATTACATTGTTTCCTCACGATAGCCTCCAAGGGGTAAGGCAATATCATGCCCACTTGACAGCTGAGAAAGCCAAGGCCCAAACAGGTCTCACACATTTATTCATTCATCCTACCAGTCATTCAGTGACTGCGTACCTGTATGCCAGGCCCTGTGCCGACACTGGTGTTAAATGCAAATGAAGTCATCGAGGGGCCTCACAGAGGCTGAAATCTGCAGCAGTGGTTCTCAGCCCCACTGTGCAGTAGAACCAGCTGGGGAGCTCAAGCCCTACCCCAGAGATCCTGGTTCAGTTGGTCTGAGTGGGACCCAGGCACAAGATTCTCATATGCAGCCAAGACAAAGAGCTACTGGCTTAAATGGAAGTACCTTCCAGGGTCACTAAGTGGCAGAGCTGGGGTTTGAACCCAGGTCTCTGACCCTCAGGCCCTTTCTCTCCAAAGCGCTGATGGAAACAGCTTCTCAAACAAGAGTGGGCCCATCAAGTGAAAAAGAGTCTCCCGCATGAGAAGTTTCAGCTCTCTGCTTCCAGGTGGGCCTGCGATGTTTGCAGAGGGGCTTTGCTGAGCCGATTTCCGAGGTTTGGGCAAGCGCGTAGAGCCGGTCAGACAGACCTGGATGGAATCCAGCCCTATTCCTCTCTTGCCGTGTGAGCTGGGGCAAGTGGCCTCACCTCACTGAGCCTGAGCTGCCTCATAGAGTGGTTAGGAGGGTTAAATGTGATGCTACATCCCCAGGACCTAACACAGGGCTGGCACACGGTGGGCACTGCTTCTGTAGTTGCTGAATAAATGAATGATCATGACGTCCTGAAGGAGAGGCACTGAGGTCTTGCCTGCCTGGTCCTAGCAGTAGTCTTGCTTAGTTGACAGTTAAGCACCCTCCACTACCCAACAAATTTACCCGAACCTCATCTGCACCTTGGGTAGGCAGAGTCCAGCGATGTCCCCCATCTGACCCTCCTGCCTCCTCTCCTGTAGAGAAGTGCTTCTCACCCAGGAGTGATTTTGCACCCCAGGGTACAGTTAGCAATGTCTGGAGACATTAGTTGTCACAGCTGGGAGTGGGGTGGGAGGTGCCGTTAACTTGTAACAGGTAGAAGCCAGAGATGCTGTTAAACAGCCACCCCACCACACACTCATCCACCCTACGGTGCAGCGGTGCCGAGGCTGAGAAACTCTGCTGTGCAGAAACCCTCACTCCAGCCAAGCCGATGTGCCCGTTGGCACTCATCCCCCGCTCCCTCCTACTGCCCTCACCCTGCCCAGGTGCCTTCTGTGCCCCCCAAGTTGGCCATCATCAGTGAGAAGCTGTGATAAAATAGGAGGGCGGAAGGGTCAGCTGGGAATGTTTTGGGGGAACACGATTGAGGCTGCCTGAGATGATGTCATATGTAGCATCCCCAGTTCCATGCAGAGCCTCTTCTCTAGGCTCCCCTCTGTGTGGCCTTCTGGGGTCCACACCCCCTGCCATTTCTGAGGTCCAGTTCGCCTGTGCTTTCTAACTCGGCTCCTCTCTCGGGCCTCGGTTGACAATGCCGCCTGCTTCGATGGACTGCCTTCCCTCTCCCGGCACTCGGTACTTCTTCATTCCATTCAACATGTATTTAATATCTATAACCTCTTCCAGAAGGTGGGGAGTGAGTTTGTTTTGTTCACAAGAGTATTCTTAGTGCCTAACACAGGGTCTGGCTCATCTTCGGGGCTCAGCAAATCTTTGTTGAATGAATGACTGGATGAGTGAATGAGCCATCTAGAAATTGTACCTTCCTGCCCTGACCTGTCTCAGGCACCCACTGAGCAGAGTCTGGCGTCAGATGCCTGGCTATGCTATGGTAGACTGTGCTTTTGGATGAGCCACACATTCAAAATCCTATCATTTCTGAGCCAACAGGAAGGATGCTTTGAGAGGACAGCTAGGGAAACAGAGGCCCAGGAGGGGCAGGGACTTGCCCAGTATCATGTAATGGGTCACTCTACCTCTTGGCATGTGTTTCTTCTTCACTGATCCTTTTCGTTAAATGGGGCTCTCTGTCCTGTTGACTGCCCCACGTGACATGCAGCTGCAAGGTGACAGGGAAGTCTCATGGAATATTAAACAAGTATAGTGAGTTCCATTTTACTGCAGGAGAAGCCAGAACCTCGTATGGGCTGAGGTAGAGCCTGGACGAACATGTTGGTCCCCACGACCCTCAGGCAAGGACAGGACCTCCCTTCCTTCCCTGCCCAAAACCTAAATAGCATCCCAGCCGACAGGGAGACTGTCTGCAGCAACAGTGAGGTGATGTCTGGTTTCTCCTTGTGCATTGTAAGCAGTGATTAATCTGGCTTCCAAACCAAAATATAGACCGAGCTCTATTATAAACACGGGTCCTGAGGAGACCCGCCTGCCGGGCAGCTGGAGGTCCCTTGCAGACTCCATGGTCCTTGGAGCTCTCCTGAAGCATCTGTTCTCCCCTAGTGCCAGTCAGGCACCGATCACACACAGAGAAATCACTGCCCGTGGGTCCACCTTGCGGTCAGTGCCTGCCCCATAATTGCTGGGGCCATAGAGAAGATAATGGTTTAGATTTTTCCAGGTCCTGGGGCCCTGTTATTTGAAGCTATTTGGCTGACCCTAGCATGGTAAACACTGTGAAGATACTTCCAAGAAGCATATGAACCTCCCACCAACCCTACCCCATGCCGTGGCTGTGCTCAGTCTGCTGCTCTTGTCTGGCAGAAGAAATGGGCGTTCGTGGCCATGTTCAAGGCCCTTCGGGGCCCACTAATTGAGAAAGACCTAGGAACTGTAACCTTCTGGACATAGCACAGCCCAGCAGGTGTAGAGTCCTGGGGAACAGTCCAGGCTTGGCTACGACTTGCTAAATAACCTTGGGCAAGTCCTTTCTCCTCTCTGAGCCTTGGTTTCTCAGTCTGTCCAATGAGAAAAGAAGTTGTCAAATTGATGGCTAAGGTCCCTTCCAACTCAGACACTCCAGGGTTTCGTGACTGTCCTCTGCCCCCAAAATGTAGCACTGATCTGTTCTGGGGAGATTGGTCTGTAAGGGGGTCTTTCTCTGGGTGGCCCTGTGGCTCTTCTAGGTGGGCCTCAGGCCTCAGGAAGTATGTCTCATTCCATGATTTGGTGATTAAAGATACAGGGATTGGAGTCTCGTAGTCTGGCACTGCCCTTGGGAAGCTGCGTGGCCTCAGGAAAATCACTTTACCTCTCTGAGCTTCAACTGGCAAGTGTGCACAGTAATTCCTACCTCCCAGGGGTGATTGCAAGGAATCGAGCTGATGTATTGAAGGCTTTAGTGCCGAGCCAGGCATAGGGCAAGTCACTGTTCATGTCCCTGATGATCATTTGTTTCCTTTTAGCTATGTTCTGAATAAAGGGTTTACTTGAAATCTCCTCCTGGGATTTCACTGGCCACAAGTCTCCTCTAAAGTACTGGTTTCCAGCAGGTTTCTTCACGGCTACAGAAGAAGCCCCAGGAGCAAGTGATACTCAGGGGCTCCCTGGTCACCTTTCACACTTCTCTCGAAACCCTTGCCCATTACTTCATTCATTCTTTGTTGCAACCCCTTGAAGCAGGCAGAGGATGGCAGGGTGGGCTCAGAGAGGGCAACGATGTGTGCCAAGTCACACAGTCTAGAGCTCAAGGCTCGATTCAGCTCTTCATGGAAAAAGACTTGCTTCTTCTTGCTCATCTGCAAGCTCCAAGTGGAGAAAGATAATAATGGTGATTATACACATCATACCCTGACACATGCCTTCTCAATGTGGCTTTCCATCATATTACCACCCGACACGTTCTGGCTTCCTGCTTCTTCTCTGACCACCCCTGCCCATCTAATCCTCGCCCTTCACTCTTTCTGCTCCAGTCGCATGGGCCTCATTCTTTCTTGAACCCATCTGAGAGCATTCTTGCCTCAGGACTTTTACACTTGCTGTTCCCGCTACCAGAGAGCCAGCTGTCTGTCTAGCTTCCTTACCTCATTCATCTCCTCAGAGCGGCCTTCCCTGCAGTCACACCCTCCCCAACACTGCCATTCTCCGTCTTCTAACTCTGCTCACTTTTCTTCGTGGCACTGGTCACTACCACATGTTATCTCATTCAAAAATTTTATTTTGAATTATGGTAAAAAAAAAAAATCCCCAACATAAAATGTACCATCTTTACCACGTTTAGGTGTGTACAGTTCAATCATGTTGAGTATATTCACATTGTTGTGCAACCAATCTCCAGAATTTTTTCATCTTGTAAATCTGAAACTCTACACCTATGAAAACAAATGCTCCCTATTTCCCACTCCCTCAGACATTATTCTTTATGTTTACTTGTATTTATATCTCCTTAATTGGACTGTAAGTTTCAACTAAGGCAAAGGACATTGTCTTCTCCTTCATTCCATGTGTAGAATGGTGCTGGTACATAAAAGTTCAGTAAACGTTTGTTGAATGAATGAATGAAATGGGAAGATCGTGATGATAATAGCAGCTAGTCTTTACAGGGCTCTGAAATTCAGTGTCAGATACTGTGCTAAGTGCTTTACACACATCATATCCTGCAATCCATGCACCACCTCTTATATCCCCAGCTTACAAAAGCAGAAACCGAGGCTCAGAGAGGTGACATCAGTGGCCTCAGGTCACACAGCCAGCCAGCAGTGAAATGAGAGGAATCCAGAACAATCCGAAATAAGGTTTTAACTATGCTGCATACCTGTTGCTGGCTGTGGCCTGTACCTCAGTTTGCTCACTGGAGTAAAAAGCACACACCTCACATCAAAGAATCTCATTTAGCCATGTTGAATCCATCTCACAGATCCAGGATTGAGATGCAAACATATTGCTGAGCAGTCTGAGGCATGAGTAGGTGCAGAAGGAATGCTCGTAAACGTCCCAAACCTCCCAGGTCAAACTGACTCTGCTGTTTATAATTAAAAGTCCTATTTCCTGGGGGTTTACAGGGGTGAGCATGTGTGCCTATGTGTTTTTGTGTGTATGTGCATGATCTGTACAGGCCCAAGATGTCTGCAAGGCTCTCCATGTGGCCTCAGGTGTCAGAAGGACCCCATGGTGAATGTGAACCTGTTTGGTCCTTAGCAGTGGGACTTGGGGTCAGTGGCTTCAGTTATCTGAGACTCAGTTTTCTTCTCTGTAAAATGGAGGTGATAATCCCTATCCACCCGTTATCTGGCTGTTGTAAGGGCTAGAGGAGGTCATGTAGGTGTTGTCCTGGGCAAACAACCGTGCATAGAGTGGTCTGCAGGCATCAGGAGTGTGTACTCTTGAGTCTTGTGTATCACCTCCGGGGAAGCCTTAGAGCTCTAGTTCTCAAACAGAGCTGTAGGGGCTCAGAGTTCTGACTCCTTCATTTGAGGTCCAGAGAAAGAAGGGTGGTAACCTACCCAGAGTTGCCCAGTAAGTCAGACATGGTGTCTGAGCCAGGCCCAGGGCTCCCCGTGTGAGGGGCTCTAACGGAGGTTAGAGCAGCCACCCTGTCGGACATGGAAGCCCTCTGCTCCGTCCTGTTTCACAGCCCTAAGCTGATGGAAGCTCGAAGTTTGGGGTTCCCCTTCGGAGGGCTCCTAACTCTCACGAAATGGCTCGAAGGTCGTCCCCAGTGCCACCTGAAAGCATACACTCATTTTGATTCTCTCAGACTAAAGACCTGGCCTTTGACAATGGTAGTTGGGCCCTGGGACAGAGGGTCAAGGTCGGTGGGATGTTGCCAGACTCCTCTATTAGGTATTCGCGTGGCTTCTGTTCCCTTGGAATAGTTGCTGGGACCAATGAGAAGCGGGGCAGCTATTTTGGTTAATGTATTTGGCTAGTATGTGTGAGATCTTTTCTGATAAGGAATTACTGAGAAGGGGCAGGTCCTGACAGAGGGTTTCAGCATCACAGGGTGATTGAGCATATTCCAGACCTTAAGGTCCTAATGGGCCCACCCACCCACTGAGAAATCCCTCTACCCCAGCTTTTGACAGTCTCACCTGCTCTCTGATTTGGAAAGAACGGTCAGGGTACAGCATCACTCTGTCATAGTCACTGTGTCTCAGTTCAGATCACAAACCCTGCCCAAGGAATGAAGATCGCCTCTGATGCTTCTGGTCTAAGAACCATTAGTAGCAGAGAGGAAACCATAGGAACCTGCTAACCCTGATGTGTACTATGTAGCCATTTGGAAAGTATTTATTGAAATATACTACATCACTACAGTGGCGCATGCCTTCCTGAAAAGGGAGGCAGGGATGCTGGGCCCCTGCAATCCACAGGCCCAGATGTGCTTTCCTGGCCTGATGAGATTTCTTCCCCTGCAGGGACACAAAGGCTATCCTGGACCGGCGGGGCACCCCGGAGAACAGGTGAGGGTGAAGGCCTCAGCCCCACCCTGCTTACTGTCCCACACTCCAGCGCCTGCCTGTCCCTGGCCTCCTCCCCGGGCCCTGCTCCATGAGCGAGCCCCAGAGCCAGGCAGTTCTGCCTCCCATCCTGCTGGAGCCCCCACCACACCCCACCTCTCCTCCAGCCACATCTGCCTGAAGGAGCTGAAGCGCACGCCAGCCCAGCATTGGCATGAGCTGCTCAACTCCGGTTAGAGCCATGAATAGCTGGCCTGTTCCGGGCGATGTTAGGGGATATTATACACGCCGCCACGGGGTTTGCAGGAATTTTGGCTGCCCTGGCCCAAATCAAACAGCAGTGGCTGCCAGCGTGGGAGAGCCAGCCAGGCCGCCTCAGTGCTTTCTTATTCCTGGGCTGCCAGCACGGGGGTTTTGTTCCTCTGAGCTGGTCTGACCAGTTTCACAGAGGGGTGGGCTTAGGGGCCCGGCCGGCCAGTGGCTTCCCTTCCTCCTATTTCATCTCACATTCCCCCCGGTTTCTTTGTCCATCGCCCTTCTATTTGTCCATTGTAAGCCCCAGTCCCCCTGCTGTCCCCGGACTTGGAGCTGGGCAGGGTCTCTCCTTTCCTCACGTTTTTCTTTGTTCCTTTGCAGGGGCAGCTGGGACCAGAGGGCAGCCCAGGGGCCAAAGGTTACCCTGGCAGGCAGGTGCAGTATATGGCTTCTGGAAGCTCTGTGGCCATGGTGGTGTGGAGATGGCCACGGGTGCCCCCAGGGAGAGGGAGGCAGTGGGCTGGGGGCCAAGGAGCTACACCTGCTGGGTGGGCCCTGAAGAGAGGGCTGTTCAAGGGGCTGGACCAAGGCAGCAGGGAAAGGATGCTCCGTAAGAGAACAGAAGAAAGGAGTTTTGGTGCTGTGGGGGTGGGGCTCCAGAGGCTCCTCCTACCCAGTCTCTCCCCTAAGCCACCTCCTGGGACTTTGGGGAGGCTGGGGGCTCAGTTCGAAGACCATGAGTCTAACCCACCCCCATTCTACACAGGGGGCAGCTGAGACCCAGAGGAGACAGGACTCACTCTGGGTTGTTGGCAGCAGGTAGAACGTCTCCATATGTCTTTGCCCTTGTCTTTTATGTTTCAGGGGTTACCCGGACCTGTAGGAGACCCTGGCCCCAAAGGCAGTCGGGTAAGTGGGCCTTGGCAAGTGCCATGCAGGTGGGGCCCTGGGTGGGCATTACCAGTCCCTCCGGTGGGCCTGAGAGAAATCAGGGCTGGAAGGCCTCCCCCAAGTGTCCGTCGGGAAACTGCGGCCAAGACCCTCCCACCTGAGCACTCCCTGGAGACAGAGGGGCAGCAGAAGGGCTGGGTAATGGGTATTCAAGAGTCAGGCTTGGTTCCCATGGCTGGACAGACTGGGCAGCAAAGAGTCTGCTGGGGGTTTGGCCATGGCCTAGCCGCTACAATCAGGTATTTGCTTGCCATGTTCCCTAGTACATCCCAAGTGCTGGGCCACTTTGTCAGTAGAATCCTCAGGTGGGTGAATGCTGCCCAGGCCTGGAGGCGGATGGAGCATCTGCCGTTTTCCCCCTTCAAGGCCTCTGGAGCAAACCCTTGAGTAGCCAGCAGCCTCAATTTGTCCATCCTTATAAATGAAGTGATGTCCATCCGACCTCTAACATGGTTATGGGAATACTGGGAATTTGCTAAGGAGGGGCTTGCCGGGTGGGGGCTACCTGGTGGGCTGTGGGGTAGTGAAGAAGGTTTTGGGGAAATTGAATGGAAGGAAGTAAATGGAGTTTGGAAGACTAAGAAATGATCTCTTCTACATGGGTTCGTGGTAGGGACCCAGTGGCCCCAGTTTGCGCTGCACAGCTAAGGTGGTCCTGAGGGCTGTGCCCACTGCCTCTCAGAGAATGCTCAGCAAATGGGTCACACAGTCCTCGGTCAGTCCAGGTCGGTGTGACGTGTCTTCCAGTCCTGAGCCAAAGCTATTTATGGCCACAGTCTCGGCCCTAATCCCGGGAACTGACAGGCAGCTGTTCGAAGAGCATCTGGGAGGTGGGCAAGGGGGTGAGGAGGCAAGTTCCTCAGGACGTGGTGGTGGTTATAATGATGATGATGACAGTGATGGTGATGTGCAGGGGCCGATGAGGCTCCTGTCCTAGGATGTTGGGCCCTTCTCCCTTAATCCAGTTGTTCCCATAACCTGTGACCCCACAGTGGCCTTCTGAAACCAGGCAGAAAGTTTTCTCGTTTCAAACAGCATTCCTGATCTTCCAGGAGGACAAGAGGAGTGAGATAGGCTAATGTCATCTGGGGATGCTTGGCGTTTGCCATGCTGGTGGCAGCTTGAGGCCACGTATGGGGAGAGAGTTGGTCTGGCCCCAGCGCATCTTTCTCCAGGGTCACAGGGCCCCGAGCAGCCTGGGTGAGCCAGGACAGCTCCAGCTGCCCTTCCAACCCTGACATCACCAGACTCATGTTTATGAGGTAGGCAGAGCTCAGGCTTCGGGGTCAGGGCAACTGGCTTTGAGACCGTTAGCTGGCTGTGGGATCTTGGGCAAGTTGCTAGACCTCTCTGAGCCCATTTTCTCACCTGTAAATCTGAGTTATAAGCCCTGTTTGGGAAGATCAGCAAATATCTCTTTTTGAGATGATGGCCATTATCACACTGGGTGCCAAGAAGGAGGCTCCGTGACCTCTTGACCTTCTAGGGAAGGGCAGATGGTTGTAAGCCTCCATTGGTTGCTTGTTTGTGGAAGGCAGTATAGCAGAGTGGTTAGGAGCCTGGTCTAGGCGTCAGATGACTTGAATTCAAATATCAGTTCTACCACATGTTAGCTGTGTGACCCTGGGTGAGTCACTTCACCTCTCTGAGCCTAAATGTTCCCACCTCTGCAGGGAGCCGATTATACCTCCTTCCTGGGGGTGCGATGAGGATACGCTCAGTCTAGCTTTTGTTATAGTTATTATTTATAAATAAAAGCTGTTTATAGTTATTATTAGTCATTCCACAAATACCTAGAGGGGACGGATAGTGATAGGAGTGCTGAGCTAGGTCCCTGCTCTTGAGAAGTTCCCAGGCTAATGAGGACATGGAACATGGACATAGATAGCGAAGGTGCAGCGGAGAAAGTGGTAAATCCTATTATCTGAGGTGTAAGCATGGTGCTGGGATGGAGGGAGTAGGAGATCGCTTCTGGTGTGGGGCATCAGGGCTGCTTGCCAGGGAAGCATTAGAGCCGGGCTTGGAAGCTCTGTAGTCGTGGGGGTGGGAAGGGCATGCCTGGTAGGGGGCGCAGCATGAATAAAGGCTGGGAGGCAGAAACTCGGGTGCATTTTAGGGCAGTGGACTCCAGCCCTGATTAGTCATGTCCCTTCATCTCCAGAGCCTTCGCTTCCTTTGTCTGTCTAGTAAAGGTATGACAGCCAATCTGCAGGGTCCAGGAAGGGTTGAATGCAGTGGCACACACGTGTTTGTCAGGATGTCAGCCAGCTGGCGTGGCAGCTGCTGTTATTGCCGGAACTCAGGCAGCCAGGGGTGGATGTGAACACCACATCCCGGGCATACATGGCCTAGAAGGAGTCATTGCGGATGCCACGGGCACCTGCCAGCATCCCTGGGGGTGGGTAGGACCTGGTGCCACTGTAGCATCTAACCCAGCGGAGAGCTTCCTTCCCGCAGGTCCCGGGCCTCTCCCCACGAGCACCCGCGCCCTTCCCTGGCGTGAGGGTATGTGCCTTTGGACTACATCGTGGAAGCCAGCACCATGCAGTCCATGGGCATATACACTTGCCTCAAGGCCTATGTCGTCGAGGAGCCACCGGAGCTGCCACTGCCACCAGCCAGGAAGAGGAGCCGGGATGCGGGAGGGCAGCGAGGGGGCTGGGATGGGTTGGGCCAGCCACACCCCATCACTCGGCCCTTCTGACCCCACCACCTGCTCTTTCCTAGGGCTACATTGGACTCCCAGGGCTCTTCGGTCTGCCAGGGTCCGATGGAGAGCGAGTGAGTGTGCTTTCTTTGTTTACCTCTTACCCACCCAACCCACCTCCTCTGCCAGGTGCCAGAGTGGCTAAGGTCAAGAAAGGGACTCTGTTCTGAGAACACTGGGAGCTTCTGAAGGGCTTTTGACAAATGGGAAATGGGCCTATTTTATGTTTCAGATCAAGTGTCTGCAAACTACATCCTGTGGGCTGGATCCCCCAGTCATCTGGCTTTGTAAAGTTTTATTAAACATGGACAGCCATGCTCATGTATTTATGTAGTGTCCGTGGCGGTGGTCTCGGTATAGAGTTGATTAATTATGACAAGACTGTATGGGCCACAGGATAGTGGACCTTCCTCTTCATCTGCTCTCAGCCTGAGACTGTATTTGGGAACTCAGCTGTAACCTCATCAACAAGCTGAGTATAGAGAAGCTTACAAAAGCAGAGGAGCGTTTATTGAGCACCTGCTGAATACTAGGAACAGTGGGTGCTTTTCTTAGGCATCTTTCCAGCTCAGGTCCACACAGACCCCAACCCTGTAGAGGGCAAGGACCATCTATCCGTTGAGCACATAACTGATATCTGCTGTATATGTGGTCTGGGTGCTGGGCCCTCTGTGACTTCCTATTGTGGGCAGCTCTAGGGCTGGTTTTCCTCTGCTGGAATCCTATCCTGACCTCTTCCCTGTCTCTTCCTCTACAGGGCCTGCCTGGCGTTCCTGGCAAGAGGGGCAAGATGGGTAGGCCGGTAAAGATTTTCCGTGTCTATTACGCAGACTCTATGGGGGAACCTGACCTCCCACTGGCTATGCCGCCCTGTCCACTTGTGGCCTGGGCATTCTGTGCTTGCGTCTTTCTGTTTGGCCATCACTCTGCTATGAGTGTGTCGGTCGGCATGTGAAGCTATCTGGGCCTGGTGTCCTGCTGCCAGAACACTGAGTGGTGCTTCCTGGCTGGGCTGGGGCTCCCGTGGGCTCCGGGCCTCTCTGGGATGGAGCCTCTCTGTGCACGTGTGCAACAATTGCTCTGTAATACAGTTCTGTGTCGGGGGCCTTCTGTTGTCTGGCTCCTTAGTGTCCATGCTGGGGGATCTTGGCTAGACTGGGTGTCAGTGCTCCTAACTCAGAGAGCACTCACTCTCTGCGTTGTCTTGGTGTCACCAGTTTCACTCATGGATACACAAGCCAGAGGGCCGTGGGGTGCTGGGCGAGCCCACAGCAGGCTCAGCAGTAACCCTCAATCCACCAGCTATGCCCATGGCTCTATCATGGTAGGTTGTTTGGGCATCTGCGGGGCATGAAGAAAAAGCCAAGGCACAGAAAGATTAAGTAACTTGCTCATGGTTTCACAATTAATAAACAGTGGAGCCAGAATTCTGTCACCAGGGCATCCGATCTCAGTGCTAGTTCAAGGTCACTGGTTAGTGATAATGCTGTAAAAGTGGATTTCCTAGAATTTTTGCCTGGGGGAAAATGATTCATTCCAACAATCTCATTATTTACAAGGGAAACTGAGGCTCTGAAAGGCAGAGTAATCTGTCCAGGGTCCTACTACCAGGCCGAGGGAGACCCAGGACTGTAACTGAGGCATATTCCTTTCAGACCTGGCCCCCGTTGGTGGCTTAACGCTCTTTGCTATGGCCTTGCAGGTTAATACCCAGACTTGGAACTATCATCACCTCTGGGGCTGGGCCTCCGTTTGCTTGTGTTTGATGGAGAAGGGACTATGGGAAGGTTAGAAGTTGAGAGGCAGCTGGGAGGGAGCTGGGAGCACTCAAAGACATCCAGAAGAGGGGTTGTCTATGATTCTGGGATTGACTGCATGTTCACAGGCACCTGCCTTACCTGTTGCAGTGTATGGATCTGGGTCCTCTGGGGACCGAGTGAGGGATGCAAAGAAAAGCAAGATCCAGGCCCTGGCTGCAAGCAGCTGATCGGGGTGGTGCATCTCACCCTCAGACCTAGACCCCGCTGTGGCTGACAACCCCTCTGTGCCCTGAGGTCTAATGCCTGACACCTAGATCTGGGCAAGGAGCAGTACCTGATGCCTCTGGCTTCAGGCAAGGACCTCGAGTCCCTGCGGCTGGGTTGGCATTCGGAAATGTTCCTCAAGCCAGATGACCTCGGGCAAGGAGACACATTAATTGATTCATTTACTCATTTGTTCATTTGTTTGTTCAATGAATACTGAGTATACACTGTGCGTCAGGCACTGTGCTTGGTGCTGAGCAATGAACAAGAGACAAAGTTCCTATTCTCATGGGCAGACAGACAATGATTGAATGGGAGAATGAAGAATGAATGATTGACTGTCAGATGCTGCTGAGTATTAAGATGGAGTAGGGTAGGGAGACAGTGAGTACTTGAGTTTCGAGCTATTGAATTAGTTGGTCCAGGAAGTCCTCCTCTCTTTTTGAGAAAACTTAATGAGGTAAGAATGGGATCTCTGTGGCCCTCTGGGGAAGAACATTCCAGGTTGGAGCCACCTCCAGAGCCACCCATAGGGAACTTGCTCTGAAGCCATCCTGGGAGCCTCACAGTGGGCCAGGCACTGCCCCTTTATAGATGAGGAGATTGAGGCTTGGCGGAGGCGGGGTCGGGGGTGAACACCTTGGCCAGGGTATTGTGGTTTCTGAGAGTCGAAGCTGGTTAGAATGCAGCAGCCAGAACTTCACCTCTTGCCCCAGAGTGTAGCTGTTTAAAACCCTGGTTCCAGAGTTGTTTCCTGAGCATGGCGGAGGCAGGGCCCGGGAAACCATCGTCATGCCCTGGCTTCTCCACCTGCCATGACAAGGAGCACCCACAGGGCTGTGCCTCAGCTGTCCTCTCCCACGGCCCCCGCCCCCTCCTTCAGCCTCCCCACCTCTCCTTTCCCACCTCTGGTGGCCCTTTCATCAGCCGTCTCCTGTTCTTGTTTTCTTCTGGGGCCTGAAGCCTCCTGCTCATGGCCGGGAAGGCAGCACCAGGTCTGAGGTGCTCACCATTTCCCTCTCTGTGCCTTTCTCAGTCAATAAAAATTTATTGAGCACCTCCTATGTGCCAGGTTCCGGGGATAGCACTGTATCCAAAACAGACCCCCTAAAAAGCAACGTTTATTGAGACCCTTTTACTCGCATGGTATTTGAACTACATGTGATTCTCTCACTGATTGTCTGAAGTGAGAGTGATTACACCTATTTTTCAGATTTGGAAGCTGAGGCTTAGACAGCCAAAGCCATTTGCTCAGAGACCTGAGAGGCCTGTAGCTGACAACTCGTCTCTGCTTCCTTGCTCCATGCCTTTAACTTCCTGATATTCTGTGCTCCACGATGGGGGTGTTCCCTGGCACTGGGGTGTCAGATGTGGGTGGGAGAAAAACCCCTTTCCTTCAGCCAAACAGCTTTATAGCTGTGTAGTACCCCTGAGGGTCACAAAAGTCCCCTTGAATCTGGTCCAGCTGCCATGGCCAGCAAGTGGGCGGGGTCTGCATCGGATATGATTGAATATGTATGGAGAGGACTTAATGTCACCCAGTCCCTATAGTTTTGTCTCTGCCTTTGTTGGGCTTCCAGTCTGCTGTGCCCTTGGCCCACACACTCCAAGTGGTCTTTAGGGCCACACTCCTGTTGCCAGAGTTTCCCAGCCCTTGATCTGGCTGGTGGGGTTGGGGCTCCTTCTGTAAATGGGGTTTCCTTTGCCCAAGCTTTGGGCCCAGCGATTTCTAGGCACTTATTAACAAGAGAAAATGTCAGGAGAATGAGCTGAGTTCCCTCGTGCGAGATCGCAGTTGGCCTCATTTCTGGTGGGCCTGGCAATGATTTTGCTGTAGTCCATCTCATTCCAGCAACCGAAAGCTCAGACCCATGCATGCGGCCTCCTCACTGTCAGGTTTAGAAGGAGGATGTGTGAGAATCTTGCTGATGAGAACTGAGAAAGAGACAGTGGGGATTAAAAGCACATCTGAGCTGCAGAAACATGAGTGATGAGCTGACCCAAACTCTTTGTTAGACAGATAAGCAGACATAGCTCAGAGAGGCCAATAAGTTGCCCAAGGTCACACAGTAAGTCGGTGGCAGAGTCAGAACTCGAACCCAAGACCCTTGCTGGCTAGTTCAGGGTGCTCTCCACATCACTTCTCCTTCCTCTGTGCTCACATCTTCAGCCTCCAAAGGAAAGCTTAGTCTACAGCTCTCACCTCCTGCTCATAACATCTGCTAGGGAGAGAGATGTGTTGTGGTTTCCTGGGGGAGGGTCCGGATAGAAGATGTTACAAACTTAGCTGGAGTGGAGGGGCTTTCTCCTGAGCTGTCTGGGCTTGTTTGGGGCAAGGTGCAGTGACACTCACAGCCGGAGACCGGGCCATGCTTCCCAGCCAAGGGATCTCACAGGGATGAGGGAGACACTTGTCGGGTGATCTGTGAATTCACTATCAAGCTGCTGGAAGGCCTGGCCAGGCCAGTCGCCCCTTGCATCTCCTCTTGTGGTCTCTGGCAAGGTCTGCCAAGGCTGGTCCTATGGAGTGAGTCAGATGGGCAGACCCTAGAGCTTAGAGCTGGAAAGATCCAGCCCTGGCTCCCACTTCCTCAATGTGTGGCTCAGGGACACCTGGGACTTGCCCAAGGCCACACACCTGTCCGGGGTGGGACAAGGCTTCTATTTGGTTCATTTTGAGTTCAAGCTCAAGGCTCTTTCTAGTTCTTAGACTGTGAGGAGCAGGGAGAAAGGGACAGAGACTTCGTGTTTCTAAGTGGGGAAGCTGAGGCCAAAACAGATGAACATTTTTTAGCTGTGTTCATGCTGTGAGCTGGGGATATGGTCCCTATTGTCCTCATCTTGAACGACGGCTGTCTCAGCTGCTGGTGACTCTGGAATCCTGGTGAGAACTCTACCTGCCTATCTCCTTCTTGTTCCCTGAGGTGATTCTTGGGTGGCTTCCCTAGTAGATTTCAAAAGAGCAGGGTAAAAACGTGCTCAGCAGCACAAAGAAGGGATGCTGGAGACCTCCAGGAATCTTTTCATGTCAGCGCACCTGGAGTGCACGCACCTGCTAGAGAAGGATATGGGCCGCTTCGAGTGCGGTAGGAAGGAGGCAGGTTAGACTGATGCAGGAAATTTCTGACTTTGAAGAATTTAAGCGTGGTAAAGAGGTCTCCAAAATCCTTCTGTGGGCTCTTCCTGGAAATTATTAAGTATTCCCATGGTTGACTCAAACCTCACCAGTGTATGAAGGCACATTCAAGTTTGCCAGAGGCTGGATTATAAATGTCTCACCTCTTCTTCAGCCCAGCTCTGCCACGTGAGTTGGGCAGGGCCAACCATTTTGCAAGCCAAGGACATTAGCAGGACTTCTCCTCCTGGAGGCTGCGTGGAGTTGGGCAGGGCCAACCATTTTGCAAGCCAAGGAGCTGAGCCTTCAGGACATTAGCAGGACTTCTCCTCCTGGAGGCTGCATACTCCTTCTATCCTACAGCCCACCTTCTGGAGCAGACTGTTTGGGTAGACACTGCCTGGAGGCAGAGGAATGGGTGGGATGGCCCTCAGAGGCCTCCCCAGCCCTCAGCATCCTGCCGTGGATATGGTGATGAGGACTGTCCCTTTCTTCACATCTATTCCTCTGCATTGCTATAGCCAAGAGAGAATGTGGAGTCTGGTCCCAGCACTTGGTTCTGTCTCCTCCTGGTCCTTTTTCTGCTCAAAGTATGAGGCTTTCAGTTCCCCAGGGGGGCCTGACCTGGGAAAGTGGAGAAACCACGTGGCTGGGACCCTGGCAGGGATCCGAGCTCATTGCTTGGGCCTCAGGCCAGCCCGCTGCAGCCAGGAGCTCGGGCCTGTGGAGGAAGGTCCCGCTGCTGACCAGGCTGGGCGTGCACAGCATGCACAAGCAGGAGCGGCCAGACAGAGGGAAGCAGGCAGAGTGGAAGTGGGGCCACATGTTCAGCTCGGTGGCTGCCACTCTGAGATCCAGAGGGGCAAAGCATCACGGGCTCCGGGACGAGTGTCAGAAATGGGATATGTCGCTCAGTAGTAGAGGGATGAGCCAAGGTAGTGGGGTGACGGGGCCTTGGGCATGTGCTGGGCTTCAGTCTCCCCACTGGGGCAATGAGGTGCTGAATGTCAGGAACTGCTAGGGTCTTTCCGTCTCAGACCATCTGTTATTGTTCCAATCAAAAATTTGTTCCAGCACTTTTAAAGCTCCTGTCTTTTTTCCCCAATCATTGTGCTCTTAATTACAAACCCTAGATTCTGAGAGGTCATCTGCTTGACTCCTTGGAAGGAAGGGAGACTGAAGATGGAGATAGGGGCTAGATACTAAGACCACCAAGCACGTATGAGCAGAAACTGGTACTCAGCACCAGCCAAGCCATTCCCTCTTGTACATTAGCCCAGGGTTCTCAAGAGCCCCTTGAGAGACCCCAGGCTTGCTGTAGTGCATTCTGTGTGTCCAGTCATAGCTAAGAGAACGGGTACTGGAGCCAGACTGCCTGGGTTCAGATCCCAGCCCTGCTATTCCATAGCTGTGTGACTTTGGACAAGTTCTCTAATCTCCCTGGACCTCAGTTTCCTCATCTCTAAAGTGGAGCCAATAATAGGACCTATCTCATTGGTCCTGGGGGAGTGTGCTGTTACTATCATTGTTATCATCTCACCGTCGTCACCCGCTGGCTACACTCGGTCTTCGGAAGTGCCTCCCATTGGGATTTGACCATTCTGATGGCCTCCGCCTTGCTTATGGCTCAGAGATGTGCCCACACATTGCTGCTAGCAAGGGGTCACCCTCGGTTCAGCCTCTCAGCTCGTCTTCAGTACTCCCCATTGTACAGCAGAGAAAACTGAGGCCCAGAGAGGCCAGTGCGTGGCGGGCATCTGGTTGCTCTGGTTCCAGAGCCTCACAGGGGCAGCTAGCCTGGCAGCTGGGGCTGAGAGAAGCTCTTGGACAAGCTTGGCGTGGCCTCTAAATGCAGACCCATAGGTTTGACAGCTGCCTGGTTGCTGCTGCACCTGAATATATTGGACATGGCAGCCAGGAATGGAGCCTGGGGAATGCTGTCA